GGGCCTCAAAGTGGCTGGCTGGCCAAACTTAGCCAACTTGGGCAACAAAATAGGAATGCCGATGCCGGAGTGGGGGATCAACCCTTGAGGATTCAATGTCATAGTTCCCGTCTGAAGTTGTTACTGGGTTATACTGGGTTAGTGGGCTGTTATCGGGCCTAAAGGAAAACCTTTGGAGGGCCTTTTCTTGATGCTGTTTATCAGCTGGTGCTGTGTGCGTGTTGTGCTCCCATTTTCTGGATATCTATGCTATACTTTGCACGGCTGGTGCCAGTGCTCCCCAGCTGTTCCAACCAATGCATCTTCCAGACTTCATTTTTTGTGGCTTATGGCCTTTGTACATGCAACACGGCTCGGTGCTGTGTCCCTAACATTGGGTGCGCCTTTGTGAGGCGCCCCCGAAGCCCCAAACAAGTCTGAAACCGCATGCCAAGCAAGCCCCCCCCCCCCCCCCGAAACCGCTAACCGGGCGCATGCCATGGCTGGCCGCGAGGCATGGTGTACCTCCGGGCCCAGACCGCGGAGGCCCTGGTTGCGGCCGCGCAGCCTCAGGAGGGCGCCGACCTGCTGCTCAGGAGCGGCACGTCGGTCGGGGTGGGCTACGAAGATCCTCCACCCGAATGGAAGCCACGGATGAATCAAACCCCTGGTCTGTTGAGTCCAATTCATAGGGGGGTGTCCTGTTTTAATGGGGGCGTGTCTCGCTTTCAGTGGGGAGTCATCGGCTTTTGGAGGGCAACACCCACTGAACGGTTTATGAATCCGGGGTCAACGCTGAGCATCTAACGGGCCTTGCAAAAGGCCCTTGAGGGCGCGAAGCCTTCCAGAGGTCCCGTTCCCTTTTCAATGGAGAAATGTTTGACTTGGGTCGGCGACTGGTTGGTGAATTAATGTCTTCAATCACCCATACAAAGGAATAGTTGTTCAGACTTCCAGTGGGGTGCGTCCTTTATTAGGGACCCCCCAAAATGGGTGGTGATTCCTTTTGGCTTCCCTTTTAAAGCACCCCAAACAAGTTCCCTCCAAAAACTGGTGCCCTGTTTTCTATTCATCGGTGGCTGCTCCAACCGGCTGGAGGTCTGGGTCTCCAGATGCCCCGCCGCCGCATGTGCAGGCCTTGGCATCGCGTTTTTCGTTGGCGCGTGCGTTCCATGGTCCATTGAACCCATGGGCCCCCTGGCTTTGTTCCCATACTCAGGCGACAACTACTGGTTTCATTCACTCATTCACCAAATCCTCGCAAGGGCTCGAACAATGATGGTATGCACTCAGCCTTTAATGGATGTTGCAGGAGAAGTGTGGCCACCAAAGCGAGGGCACAATGTTGAAGGTCCCTCGCCTTCATTCAGGTAGGTGAACTTCACTATGGATTGCGTCGCAGCGTTTGCATTCGGTTGTTGTTTGGTGAGATTGTCTAATCTTCGCGACAAGCTGTGGTGAGGCGTAGCGAGCGCTTGAGCAAGCCTGCTGAAATTAGATTTCTATAGGCTACTGTTTTTTGGGCCTCTACTCGTTGGGTTGGACCCCGCAGCCGCAATATGGGAAATCGAGCTGTAGAGCCACTTGTGATACCAACGGAATCCTCGCTAAGGCGAGAAAGTAGTCACAGGGATGGCCCGCTTCGGTATCACAGAGAGCTTGTTTTTGTCCACAAGCATGTCCAGCCTTTTGCCGACAACAACTAAGCACCATTTGAAACATGACAAATTCCTGAGGAGTGGAGTCCTTGCGTCAGGGTATGGTCTTCTACTAAGGTCACTCATGCGTGTCACATTCTTCAATTCCCCGTTTTCATGGTGTGTTCAACAGATATTAAGCACAACGCTCTATACACAGAATCTGAGATGAACCTAGGAGTGTTTCAGAGGTTTCCTTCGCTGCCAGTTCTGTAAGAACATTGTTTTCCCCCTACTGGGCGCCTCTTCGCGACCTCTGCCGAGATGGCTTCCGAAGCCGGGATGCAGATTCTAGGCTTTTTGATCGCGACGGTATGCTGACAGATGAATATGATGATATTCTAGCCAGTTGTGTTTCGTTGAGTCTGACAAAGTAGTTTCACTTCTTGTCGTGGCCGGGTTTGGGCTAAGGAGAGTTTGCAATTGCATCAGTTTGCCAATGCCCAGCCACGTTTCCCTTGCACCAGCAAAAGGCCCCCTTTTCGGGGCAAGCAAGTGGGGTCCCGGTTTTTGCAGCCCAAGCCCGTCCTTTGACCTACACCTTTCCTTTTGGTCGGGCCGCAGGCCCCTCAGAACGTCGCGAAGAAAATGCGAGTGGCGGTGCTTGCAACGCAGGAGTGACGCCACGGGTTCAAATTTGGTTTATCTCGTGATAAGAATGCTCACCCCCGGGGTTAATTTTAAAGTTTTATTTGGAAGACCATTTCAGTGGTAAATTCCATGTATTTTTTCCGACCGTCTCAGGAAGTGAGAATAGGGGCTTAAATAAGTAGAATGGGGTTTCTGGGGTACTTCAAAGCCTCACTCAAAGCATGAACAGGACAAACTATTAGTTTTTGTGTTGCCCTTATGTTTCCGGACTTCTGTCTTTGTGGGAATACCAGACTGGCATTGTGTGGCAAACAACGGGTTCAGGCCTTTTTTTTTGCCCATTCACTGAGCAAGTGAGTAGTGACCAAGTATCAGACCTCCAGATCCCATGTCTGTGGAGGAAGTCGGTTTCGGTTTCCATCAGGGAACCACGAAGCGGTGCCGTCGTTGTCTCTTCCGACCAATCCAGCTCCAGATCTGGGCGAGTATTCACCTGATTCAGCCCCGGGATCGGTGAATGGGGCTTGAGAGCTATTGGATCGGAGGGGTTTCAAATTATTTTTTACCGGGATCACTGGGCCACTCAAGGCATCACTTAGGCTGTTGCGGGGCTTAAAATCAGAACTGCTTTGTTTCAATGGCAACATCTTTGGACCAGACTTGCCCGATTGCACTTGGAGGCAACGTCAGAACACGGGGGTAATAGAAGGTTAAGTCGCAGTCGTAACCATAAACAGGTGCGGTTGTCCACGTCATTGGTGGCTAGACTATTTTCCCGGATGCAGGTTGTGAGTCACGTGCTTTGCTGTTCCTTCAGCATGAACAGCAAAACCTTCGTGTTTGCTTCGTTGGTGTCGAAGCCTTAGGATCTTGTCATGGGTGCAAAAGATAGCGTCATTCCCGCCTGTACTAAAGAACTAAGAACAGGTAAGATGTTTGCTAGGTGGAACCAAACAGTTGAGCGGCATGTGTATGTTGCTTGCCCTTGCACCAAGGCCACGGGGGAAATGCAGCCAGCCAAGCTTTTCCAGCACCGGTGTGTCTCATCACCTTTCAAGGGATAAAGTCGTCACGGTTGGATGGGAACCAGCATGAAGCCACTGTGTTTGTTATTGGAGTGTCAGGCTCTCCTCCGGCTTCCCTGACCAAGGTTAAAAGTATATGCAAAACCCCCACCCGTGGCACAGCAATGCTCCATCTGGCTTCCAGAGTGCCTGGCGCGAGGACGAGTTTAATGAGACCTGCCTCTTTGCCCCTTGGATTGTGCACAACGAGACTTTAGGGAATTGCTGGGGTTTCGGCCCGTTGTGAGCAACCTTTTCCTGCCGGCTTCTACTTGCTTTTTTGGGGGGGCGGGGATGTGTATCTTTTATGACAAGTGGCGTTTTAGAGACCTGCAAAGCCTGCAGCCTTGCCATGGTTTTGGCAGATTTGAGGTTTGGAATGCTGCTTTGCTGCCGGGGTTCGAAGCTTCCAAGCAAATCACGAAAGAAAACCCCCGCAGGACAAAATAGGGGGTACCATGCTCCCACTGGCGAAGGCCCAAAAAAATGCATCTGGCAAAAGAACACAGTTCTCCCACCGGAGTTTTGTTTCAACTCCTGCAACCTTGCATGCATTATTGTGTTTAGCTATGGGTGTGGATATTTGGTTTTAGGTTGCTTGTTACTATACTAAATATTTGTTTCAAGTGATCACGTAGTCATGGGCGTCGGAAGCAACCACAAAAGATATTGCAACGGTGAATGCAGCGATTTTCCACAGCTGTTTGGGTGTGCAACCCTGTTGGTCCAGTTGAGCAGCGCCCGAGACCACCGTTGACCATTTAGTAGGGCGGTTCTACTAGCTAGTTTCATCAGGGGTATAGTAAGGCTTATATACGCCATGAAAACCATGTAAGTCGAACCCAAAGTCAACAGGTTTGAGTCGCTGTTCATAACGAGGAACTATTCAACAAAACCATGTCTTGAGCCGCAAGCTTTTCCTTTCGCTGCCTAGGACATGGGCATGGTCAGCAACACGGGCAACGGACGACGCTATGCGGCGCAGGATTGACATGCCTGTGGGCGGAGGTGTTTCTTCTCAGCGTTACCTGTTGACACCTCCCTCAAATTCCAACACTCACTTGCCCCCGTCCCGAGCATTGGACGGGAGCCATGTTGGTCCAACTATGTTGGGCGTCGAAGAAACCAATTTTCATTCATTGGGACAAAAGGTTCACCTTGTCACTCCATTTGAGGTGAGAACAGTGAGACCATCTTCCATTTGCTTAATATTGTTTGTTTTCCCCTGTTGATTGTCAAGGTATCACTACTTGAAAATGGGACTCAAGACTGGCTAGCCAGCAAGACACATGTTTAAGTTTTCAGGGACGCAGAAGCAGACCATGGCCATGTTCGCACATCTCAGATTCGGGGTTTCGAGCGGAACTGTTCAAGCATCCTTCAGTTGTTCCTTTGGATTGGCCCTGGAGTTGAGTAACTGGAATCAAGTGCGGGAGCCTTGGCAGGCCCTGCTGCGTGAGCTTCTGACGGCGGACGGGGTGGAACTGGCGGCAGTCCTGGTCTACGCGCTTCGGCAGCGAGTTGGGTGGATTTTGGTATGAGGGGCTAAACATTTGCTATTAGCTTCGGATTTCTCCAGAGAACTGGACTAATCAGGGGTGGTTTGCCATTTAGTATTCAAATCACTTGTTTTGGAGGGTTCTTCTCCCTAGACCTAGATCTCAGTCACTAGTTGGGTCCTCCGGAACAATCCGAAGTCAAGATCAATGGAATACACACTTCTTTACTCGGACTAAAAGTGGTTTCAAACTATCCCACAACCCTATTCCAATTGTTTGGGCCCTTCTACTTAATTACTTGTAGTAACCTCCCACGATGGAACCTGACTGGCGCACCGAGGAATCTCTTAGGGTTTGCCAGGTTGCTGTGCTTCCCCTTGGGTTGAACATGGGGCCAAGTCGAGCTTCAGTTTGGGCTGATGTTGGGGGCCTCATGGAATGTGAAGGCACCTGGTTTGGACCTGCGATGGTGTGAGCGGGCAGTTCGGGTGATGCAGGCCCCTGCCCCAATATCAACTATCAACTTAGCGAGTTGCCAACCTTTGCATGTTTAGTTGGTGAGGTTTTTCATCACGAGAGGGGCATACGCAGTGTAAGCTTTTCTGGCCAGTCACTATGGGTTAGCCAAAGGGCCAAAGGTCCTTTGATTCTTGATGCGGAGTATGGGAATCACAGAGTGTCACCATGATCATTCTCTGCGTCCTTCCCTAGCAAGTGCCTTTCCTAGGCAAGCTGTAGCTCACCCCATCAACTGACAGATTTGTGTTGGTTGTTTTGGTGGAAAATGGATGGGTTTCCCTGGTCCTGGTGGTTTAATCATCGACCAGGGAAATGCCCAGGACTCGAAGAACGAGACCGGGCGCTGGGCCTTGCCTTTGGAGGGCCCGCAGCGTTTGTCGCTGAGCACCCGCCACGGGCCGCCCGCCGGGAGCTGAGAATTGAAGGTCCGTAGGCGAATGGGTCTGGCCTCAAGACTTCCATTTGCTTAAGAAGATGGTTTACTTCCCCCTGTTGGTCTTAAAGGGAGGTTTACTCCCCACTTCCCCCTGTTGGTCTTAAAGGGAGGTTTACTCCCCACTTCCCCCTGTTGGTCTTAAAGGGAGGTCATCACTACTGGACATATGATAGTTGTGCCCTCACTCCCCATGACATGGCGACATGGCACCTGACAGGGAAATGGTCTCATCTTGCAGGTACCTTCCCACAGCTGCTATGTTGGTGGAAGGGAGGGTATATGTATTTTCCCCTGTTGGTCTTAAACGGAATCTATTACTACTGGAAATAGTGTTATTTGTTCCAGGAGACTTGAGACAATAGTAAAGACTCTGGTAAAGACCCACAAAACTGCGTGCCACATGTCATACGTTTTTACATAAAAGGGAAGCCGAAAGGGGATGGGTAACGGAAGGGGCTGAGTATTTACTACTGCTGCTCCAGTTTGTGTACAAAGCTTGGATTCAATTCTTAGAAAATCAAACCCCTGGTTCTTGTAGCGGGTTAAATGGGTGCCCCCCGCCCCCGGGAACACCTTTGAACCACCCGGGAGGCTGAAAGCGTGGAATCTTGAAGGTACCTTGTTTGGACAGTCTTCTTCAAGCTGATTGTGGCGGGTTCCTCACAACTGTGGGTGGAAGGGTATAATGTGGGTTCCACGTGTCCAATTATTGTTTCCGCAGTCACTTATCCTTTTTGGGATTGGACCATTTTAGTAGTAAATCTGACCAATCCAGCAACCATAGGTGTCCTTTCCATGATAGTCTTGTAAGAAATGTATGAATTCCACTGGTTTAGATGGGTTGCATTTATCTATATATTTATATGATTTATATGTGCACATTAAACGGCAAAACAACATGTGCTGGGAAATCCATTTGTTCTGCCACACACACACACACCCAACCCGAACCCCAACCCCTCCCCCCAACCCCCCCCCCCCAGGCACCCAACACCCCCCAAAAAAGGCGCCGACACCAACGGCTGAGCCCCGGGTCGGAAGGTCACAGCCTGGCGGGGCTCCATGGGTCAGCTGCTGGGCCACCTGGCAAGCTGAGCGAAATCCAGCGAGATCCAGCGAGCGCGAGGAATGGGGTGGATTTGGGGAAACGCTCCTCAAACTTATGGTGTTCCTTTCGCTTCCTTTAAACCAATCCAATGAGGGGCACATTCAAAACAAACATACAACCATGTGGGTGTGCCTTGAATGAAAGGTGAGCCTTCAAACGTGGCTTCGGCTTCCCTTTGGTTTCCCTTTGCCCCGGAAGGGTATCCCCAAGACTAAGGGGTATCCTCATCAAAGCGCAGACCGAGGCGCCTGCTGTGGGGAGCTCTTCGTGGATCTGGCCATCTCCATCCAAGCGCGGCGCACCTGCCTGGAGCTGATGCTGAGGATCCGATTCATCGACCGACAGCTGCCCTCCCCCCACGCAGTTTGGGCCCTGAAACGGCCCTTGTAAGGAAACCTTCCAGTGCAGTGCCCGGTTTGGACAGAGCCTGTATTTGCCTGTGAAGCGTGTCAAACATCAGCTTTTGGGGCCAGTTGAAGTGACTTATCATTTGTTGAGTTTCCTATGACTGTCAAGACTCCAGTCGAATCTCCCAAGTGCCCATGGTCCCAATAACCTTACTGGGGGCGCCAATGGTGCCCCTACTGGGATTGAGGAATCGGCCCCTTTGAGGGCCTGCACAGCTATAGGAAACCCCTCGCTTGGAGATTCAACCAGCAAAGACTGGACTGGGCAGTCTCTAAGGTTCAAGGTTGACCCGGAAAGAAAGCACCACGTTTTTCTTTCCCTTTTCCTTCTCCATTCAGAAATAAGTCTAAAGGGGGTGGAGACGGCCGGTTTGCTCGTGGTTCCATCCGCCTCGAGTAGAAACACTGGTTTCAAGCCAGTGCCCTGGTTTTGGAGTCTCAGAGTTTTTTTCCAAAGAACGTTAGCTCTGAAATCTTTTGTGTTGGAAGAGTTGGTTGTCTACCGGGGGTTTCAAGCAACCGATTGCCGTGATCGCAGTACGTTGTCTGAGTGTAGCAATTGGAATGTATCAAGGCGTGTGCTGCATGCCCATCGCCCATGAAATGGGAGTCACTCTACATTGCACGTTGCCATCTGAACAGTTTCATGATTACATGACTCACTTTTCCAACATGCATCACATTTGCCTTGTGTAGTTGTCATCTATTTGCGTCTTAAGGTTTCTATCGTCTGGCCTTCCAGGAGCATCCAGGCCACGAAGTATGTGGCGCCTCGGCATATTCTTTGTCGACGTCGAGCCAGCCGGGATGAATGCGCCGGGCATCTCTCTGACTCATAGGCGTCAACCCCTACAAACATATTCGGGTTGCCATGTTCAGCTTGTGGCCAAGGCAGACCCCTTCAACGTGATAACAAACATTCTCTCTTTCTGGCCAGGAATCCGACAAAAACCGGTTGGGGGGGTGGGGGGGTGGGGGGGTGGGGGGGTGGGGGGGTGGGGGGTGGGGTGGGGGTTGCATCGGGCTGAGGTCATGGGTCATGACTACAACTTGCCCTTCGGACCGTGGGGCATGGAGGTGGAACCTGATATGCGCCTGGGCCGCTTAGAGCCGGGATTCAAGAGCTACTTCGGCGCGCCACGTGTGTTTGGGGCTGGCGTTCTGAGGGGGGATGTTTGAGGATGGTCAAGGAGATCGCCGGAGAAGTGCTTTGGTGGTCTTTGGACGTCCCTAAAGACTTGGAAAGAAGAATTCTTGCCATCATTCGTCCGACAGATGACAGGAAGGCTGATGGTGGACCTGCGAAATCGGAACCATGGGTCCCTTTGATACAGCATTTGCGGGGAAAAGTAGGAGGGGGGAACCTTTAAGTGGAACCTGGTGAGATATAAAGGGGTGCAACTCCCTGAAAGTCGATGTGGGTCTCAGGGTGCCTTTTGGCAGAACTTGATGCCCATGTTGATCAGCAGGGGAACGGCGTTTCTCAGTAAACAATCGCCTGTGAGAGGTCACCAGAAAGACCCATTTCCTTTCAAAGGAACCTCTGACAAGTTCCATCTTGGCGGTGGGTGCCCTTTGCAGCTGTCAAAGATGCTTGCTGTTTGCGCGGGACCACTTTTGGGGTGGCTGAAACTGGCAGATGTCGGGCGTGTCGTTGGCACATCGGCAAGCTTGCGACGCGTTTTTGTACAGCTCGCCTTTCATATTTCATCTCACGATTGTGTCCTAAACCAAACAAACAAAAACATCATTGAGGATGTCTTAAGGGGACCCTCCTGCAAATGATCATGGACGCCCCAGAAGCATATATGCTAGATGAATCTCGTTTGCGGGAAGAAGCCCACTTTTAGGTTTATCGACTTTTTGTGGATGGAGTGTACCTAATTTTGGCTTTCCCCCATTAAGTGCCCCAATTTACAGGCTCACTTAGAGATGGTGAACGCAAGATCGCCCTGTACACCCTGGGTTCGCGGGGCCTTCCCGTTTTGTGGTTGTGGGCAGAACCCCCTTAGGCCACCCCTGCGAAGATGGCCTAAGGTATGCGTGTTTAATATGGCGACCTCCAGATTCACCGAACAGCATGGGCGCATGCCTCCTCAAAATATTGGCCGAAATTGAACTGTGTCTGACATGTTCCTTTCCTAGATCTAGTAGATTTGGGTTGCGTATCCTAAGATGGTTTCTACCCCCCCAGGGGCTTACTGGAATATGCAACCACTATACACCTATCGTGCGAAAGCTATATAATCTCGGGGAACAGTGGCGGTTTGGGGGGGTGGTGGACCCCATTTTAGAGAGGTTGAGCTGGAGGCTTGCGCTGCACAAGTCCTTCATCCAGGATCCGCGCGTCACCATGTTCTGCACCTCCCAGCACTTGCAGCATTATGTCGAGCGCTTCTCCGATGGCTCCTCAGCTGCGGGTGAAAGCCGCTCGATCTGGAGCTTGCTGTTGCCCGACCCTTCAACAGGTGGCAGATGGGGATGCCGGTGAGGTCAGCAAGGCATGTTTGCAATGCTCAGATTGTTGGCCAGTCAACTGCAGGTCAATTGCGACTTACTAAGAGCAAACATGATCGCTACAGTGTGCCTCATGCACTGGGCCGACGTGTCTGTGAACCTGGAGTGATGGTTGGAAACGGCTGGCGCAGTCCTACGGTGCAATGGGTTCAAGTAAAGTGGTACTTTGACCCCACTTTGACCTTCTCAAAAGCCATCCTCAAATGGTTCTTGCTTGGTGTTTCTGTTGCTGAGGGTGCCCATCTTTTGTTGGCTTGAAGGGAGACGAGATGGTTGTTTGCTATTTTTCAGCAACCCCATTTGACCCTTTGGAGTTGGACAAGCTTCTTCCCCTTGCAATCGGGATTGTTCAGAGGGCAAAATAAATGGCCAGGCGAGATGCACTACGCCAACATCACGGTTTGAATTTTAAATTGGGGACCCTTCGGTGGACATCAATAAGTTGGACACGAATGCCCACCAACCACCCTGACAATTCCCTATTCGTAGACAAATCTGCCCATTTAAAAGAGTGCACACTATCAGAAGTCAGTGAGTGAGGCAGCTGACCAGCATGGCCTCCTTGCCTCAAGAGTTTGGAAATTCCAAAATAATTCAGAACTTTCTGCATCCCCCCTGAGAAGGTGAGGGTTCGGGTTGACGATCGGCTCTTGCAGGTTGTCCTTGCATGTAGGTTGAGTGGTCAAGCATGGCGAGAATGATAATTTCTTTTTTAGGGTTGTCTCCCAAAAGTGAAAACCCCACGGCCACCGGAAAAAGCCATTTAACTACATAGGAAACACTTGTGGTATTTTGGACACATCTAGTGCACTGATCTTCTGGTACATGGGTACGAAAGTAAGACCTTAGAAGGGATCGAGACTCCATAGCTTTCAGCTGTTAGAGATCCAAATCTGGCGATTCCTTGCTCCAACCTGATTGGGAAGGGTAGCCTTGCCCGAGGCAAGGTGAAGACGCGTCTCTGCTACTGCGCGGACTACGGCTACTTCGACGGGCCCAACTTCCCCCCAGAGAAGTGCGAGGGAAAGTATGCCCAGATCCCCAGCCGGGCTATGGGCATGTCTGCCTGCCTGGAGTCCGCATGAGCCTGTAAAGGGGTCATGAACCCTTTTTTTGGTAAATGACACAGGGTGGTGGAGACTCCAGGTAAGCGGGGGCTTTCCCTGAGCGTTCAAACCACAAAACCAAAAGCAAGTGACCGCCTGGACAGGCTGATTTTCGGAATCACCCACGGGGTTCTGACCGCTACCAAAGGACTGTCAGGTGCGTATCTGACAGGAGCCCATTTTGTTCGATCGCATTTAGCACTGGTCAAATTGATGTGTCTTTTTGTTTATGGCCCGGCCTAACTTATTGGTTTTAACCTGTTGCCGCACACTGTTGCCCATTAGTGGTTTCTTCTTTTCCCTGTTTAACTTGCCCAACGTTGATTCTTCATAGGTGGACTAAATCTGGTTTGGCGCCTTTCTATGGAAGAAACTCATGATACCCGTTGTGGACCAACTTTTCGGGAAGTTCGCATTTCCCGGCAAGCCTGCCAAAAGTGAAACTATGTGGGCAGCAGGTAGTCATGAAGCAGATGAAACGGCGGGGATAGGCTTGAAGCACGCAGACCCTTCCTTGCAGGGAAACCTCTTTCACTTCAAACATGTTGTAGTGGGTAGTCGCCAGCCTGCCTAGCTTCCTTTTCACATTTTGGGAGAGGTGTCATTGACCACATGCGACCACTACATATTTTGTCCAAAAAGTTCCGGGCGTGATTTGGAGAAGCCCTTTTTGACTTGCCAGAGCGCGCAATTCATCACGACCTCACTGGGTACACGCAGCTTCGTAGCGAAGGTCCACGAGTTGGGGTTCCCTCACGTGGCCCACGTCGGATAAGATTCATATCCACGTAACCATTTCAATATATGGGTCTTTTTTGGGGACCCCCTAAAAATGTTGCTTTGCCTTTTTGTCTCCCTTTACAACCACAAAGAAGGGATCCCCTCAAAAAATGCAGTGTTTCCCTTTTAACCAAACCAAAGAGGAGTTCCACCGCAAAAAAAGACGCGCAAACATTGCCTTTCCATTAAACCTACAGTTTTCTCCTTGGCAGTCTTGGCACATGTTTGTGACGCAGGGACCTAGGTCCTACAGGTAATTAGCGACCTTTATGGGGTCATTAAGGGGTGGTCCACAGGGTTGGAGTGGTCCTAGGGCTCTCCGACCCACCTCTTGCAACTACCCCCCTTAAGCACGGCTCCTGAAAAGATACGTTTTGCCCATTTGAAACATGGCTTGTTCGACCCAAATAAAGGGAAACCACCATTTACAAGGCAATGTTCAGGTGTTTTTCATGTAAGGATCCCCCTTCAGGATTCCATAGTTCGGCTTGGCAAGCCTTGCAACCCCCGCGCAAGTCGCCCGAGGTGACCTTCATCAGCCCCAGCCCTGCCAAGGGTTTGGCCATTGTGCTCCGGCTTGCACTCATGCGCCCCGGCGAAAAAGTGTCATATCCTTAGGGCACCTTTGTTTGGTCGTTCCACAGGAAAACTGATGCAGAACACGTCTTTTGCGGATCACTCAGTTGCTTTGCTGCATCTGATTTTGATTCGAATACTTGTTTATTGTCGTTACCTGCCATTCCCCAATCCCCCCCCAAATGTTTGCGCTTCATTTGGGGCCTAAACCGACCGTCTCAAGCCATCCCTTGTGGCCTCTGACCCTGTAAACAGTGGATAACAATGAGTCAAAGTTCCTATCGACGTCCTGGATGTTATTTTTGCTCCTAGATGTTCATGTGTTCGATATGTGCGCCAGCGCTGTTTTTGTTTTATTTGTTTTTCACATATACATATACACAGGTGTGTGTGTGTGTGTACATGTGTACATCGGTATCTCTGCCGGGTTGTCAAGCTTCTTGAGTTTGCATTGCCAGGTTTCCAGACACGGAGTTCCTGTGCGTGAGCACCGTGTGGACCAAATCTTTGCACGAAGTTCAGCTGTCCCTCGGCACTGAACAGGGGGCATAATGAGTCTGTTTGGAGCCACGTTGTCAATTTTAAAGTAGTGGTTTGCATTTGGAGTCCACGTCTACTTTTCTCCCTGTGCTTCCTTTTTGGCGGTTTAAATAATTTGTGGGCAATCCATATCGACCTCAAAATTGGGGGGGGGGGGGGGCAGGCTTCAACCTACATGCAACTTTGCCAGGAAGGCTTTCTGCCGAGTTGACCGTGGTCTACTGTATATATTGGAACTTGCTCGCCAATTTCCATCTAGCCCAGGAGCATTCAAAAGTCCCGTCTGGCTGGATGGTTTTCCATTCAAAGTTACAAGCAGGGATCACCTGGCAGTGGATATTTGCATGGAGGTTCCGTGCTTGCTCACCGGCTGTTTGCGCTCGGCGCCATTCACTCTCCAACTTTAGAGCCTCCGGCTCAGTCCGCCGACATTGTCCTCTCCCTTTTTTTTGTCTTCCTCTCTTCCTTGTCTCCCTTGTGTGTTCTGTCGTCCTCTCTCCCTCCCTCTGCTCCCATCCTCCCCATCCCCCCAAGCCTCTCTCTCCCCACTCTCCCTCTCTCGTATGTATGCATGCATGTACATATGTATGTATGTATGTATGTATGTATGTATGTATGTATGTATGTATGTATGTATGTATGTATGTATGTATGTATGTATGTATGTATGTATGTATGTATGTATGTATGTATGTATGTATGTATGTATGTATGTATGTATGTATGTATGTATGTATGTATGTATGTATGTATGTATGTATGTATGTATGTAATGTATGTATGTATGTATGTATGTATGTATGTATGTATGTATGTATGTATGTATGTATGTATGTATGTATGTATGTATGTATGTATGTATGTATGTATGTATGTATGTATGTATGTATGTATGTATGTATGTATGTATGTATGTATGTATGTATGTATGTATGTATGTATGTATGTATGTATGTATGTATGTATGTATGTATGTATGTATGTATGTATGTATGTATGTATGTATGTATGTATGTATGTATGTATGTATGTATGTATGTATGTATGTATGTATGTATGTATGTATGTATGTATGTATGTATGTATGTATGTATGTATGTATGTATGTATGTATGTATGTATGTATGTATGTATGTAATGTAATGTATGTATGTAATGTATGTAATGTAATGTATGTGTATGTATGTAATGTATGTATGTATGTATGTATGTATGTATGTATGTATGTATGTATGTATGTATGTATGTATGTATGTATGTATGTATGTATGTATGTATGTATGTATGTATGTATGTATGTATGTATGTATGTATGTATGTATGTATGTATGTATGTATGTATGTATGTATGTATGTATGTATGTATGTATGTATGTATGTATGTATGTATGTATGTATGTATGTATGTATGTATGTATGTATGTATGTATGTATGTATGTATGTATGTATGTATGTATGTAGTATGTATGTATGTATGTATGTGTATGTATGTATGTATGTATGTATGTATGTATGTATGTATGTATGTATGTATGTATGTATGTATGTATGTATGTATGTATGTATGTAATGTATGTATGTATGTATGTATGTATGTATGTATGTATGTATGTATGTATGTATGTATGTATGTATGTATGTATGTATGTAATGTATGTATGTATGTATGTATGTATGTATGTATGTATGTATGTATGTATGTATGTATGTATGTATGTATGTATGTATGTATGTATGTATGTATGTATGTATGTATGTATGTATGTATGTATGTATGTATGTATGTATGTATGTATGTATGTATGTATGTATGTATGTATGTATGTATGTATGTATGTATGTATGTATGTATGTAATGTATGTATGTATGTATGTATGTATGTATGTATGTATGTAATGTATGTATGTATGTATGTATGTATGTATGTATGTATGTAATGTATGTATGTATGTATGTATGTATGTATGTATGTATGTATGTATGTATGTATGTATGTATGTATGTATGTATGTATGTATGTATGTATGTATGTATGTATGTATGTATGTATGTATGTATGTATGTATGTATGTATGTATGTATGTATGTATGTATGTATGTATGTATGTATGTATGTATGTATGTATGTATGTATGTATGTATGTATGTATGTATGTATGTATGTATGTATGTATGTATGTATGTATGTATGTATGTATGTATGTAATGTATGTGATGTATGTATGTATGTATGTATGTAATGTATGTAATGTATGTAATGTATGTAATGTATGTAATGTATGTATGTATGTATGTATGTATGTATGTATGTATGTATGTATGTATGTAATGTATGTATGTAATGTATGTATGTAATGTAATGTATGTATGTATGTATGTATGTATGTAATGTATGTATGTATGTATGTATGTATGTATGTATGTATGTATGTATGTATGTATGTATGTATGTATGTATGTATGTAATGTATGTATATGTATGTATGTATGTATGTATGTATGTATGTATGTATGTATGTATGTATGTATGTATGTATGTATGTATGTATGTATGTATGTATGTATGTATGTATGTATGTATGTATGTATGTATGTATGTATGTATGTATGTATGTATGTATGTATGTATGTATGTATGTATGTATGTATGTATGTATGTATGTATGTATGTATGTATGTATGTATGTATGTATGTATGTATGTATGTATGTATGTATGTATGTATGTATGTATGTATGTATGTATGTATGTATGTATGTATGTATGTATGTATGTATGTATGTATGTATGTATGTATGTATGTATGTATGTATGTATGTAATGTATGTAATGTATGTAATGTATGTAATGTGTATGTATGTAATGTATGTAATGTATGTATGTATGTATGTATGTATGTATGTATGTATGTATGTATGTATGTATGTATGTATGTATGTATGTATGTATGTATGTAAGTAAGTAAGTAAGTAAGTAAGTAAGTAAGTAAGTAAGTAAGTAAGTAAGTAAGTAAGTAATGTAATGCATGTAATGTATGTACGTATGTATGTATGTGTGCATGCATGCATGCATGCATGCATGCTTACATACATGTATGCATGTATGTATGTATGTAATGTATGTATGTATGTAATGTCATGTAATGTCATGTAATGTAATGTAATGTACTGTAATGTATGTATGTATGTATGTATGTATCCTTGCACTTCCCCTTTGCTCCCCAGTATTTCCCGCAAAAAAAACACGGTTTTTCCAGCGTTTTCGCAAAGAGGACGTCCAAAAACATTGAGTTTTTCCAGATTTTCGGCAAAAGGATGCAGGAAGCCCAAGCCAGCAAAAAAGCCGGCAGGGGGAATCGAGCCTGGGACCCCTGTTTTGCGACACCGGCTCCCCGAAGACTACGTTTAGTGGAACGTCATCAAATTGCCGCGCGGTACGTGGGGGACCCCCCCCCCCAAAAACCTACGTAATAGACGTCGGGCGGGGGGGGGGTTAGGGGGGGGGTTATCCTCTATCCTCTAGTAAGTATCCGACACGCCGAGCAATGTCGGCGGACATGGCTTCTATCTAGAAGACTAAGACGTTGAACCGGGCTTTACCTGTTTATCAGAATGTCCGGGTTTTGCCTGTGCATCCAACAACGACGAACATGTTGGTGGGAGGGTAAATCCGCCTTTTGAAGAATCCTATTGGCTCAGTTGCGAGTTGCAAACTGACATGTGGCCTTGTGGTGTTCCAGTTCTTTGTCCTTTGGCGCTGACCCCCCGCTATGCCCCCAGAGCGATCTGGAGATGTTGTTTGGTTTTTGAATGGATGCAACTGCATTTGGATTCATGCCACCCCAAAAGCAGAGAAAGCAACAAATTGGTTGGGCCGCTCTATTTAGCCAAGCAGACTGCCAAACCACAATGCTGAGCAGGGAGCCAAAAGCGATTGTTTTCGTCCTCGGGATTTGCATGTCTAGCCGCGGCCCAGTCAGCTAAGAGGGCCTTACCATGCCTTCCCAGAACAGGTTCCATCATGTCTTTCTCAAGTGGGGCCGGAAGCAACTAATCAAGCAGGGCTGAAGGACTAATCCCTTCCCCCTAATGCTAAACACCCCGCCCCCCCCCCCCCCCGGATTTGGGGTTCTCAAAAATCGGTTTTGGTATTTGGGGACCGTTTAGCATTAGGAAGAAGGGATTAGCATTTGCTCAGAAAAGGAAGCGAGTCCTGCGAATGTGACAGGCGAGCTCACCCCAACATCCGCGTCGTGCCTGGCAGTGACGATATCGATGAGGTGTATCGGCAGACACTTGGCCTGCGCACGAGTTTGCCTTGAAATATGCTTTTGCTGAAGGGGTGCTCTGGATGAAAGGGTCACACAAAACAGAGACCAAAACCTCAAGAAAGCAAGCAGGGGCTGTCATCTATTGGGTGGTTTGGATTAGTGGATTGCAGATTTGAACCCCTGACTTTTGAACCGAGGCTCTCTTTCCCGTTTTGTTTTGTTTGTGCTTTTTTTCCGCCGTTTTCCTTGCCGGAGTCGGTTTCTGCTTCTGCGTTTCTGCCTGCCTGCGTTTCTGCTTCTGCGCTCCCGCCTGCGTTTCTGCGGAAGCGGAGGACCGCAGTGCTGGTGATGCCCTCCCTGTGGTCAGAGTCCTTCGGACTGGTGGCCGTGGAGGCGCTGGAATCGAAAC